ATTTTAAAAAATTGGTGGATTAAAACCAAAAGTTACATGATCTCCTATTTCCTTATTTAAATCTTGATTAAGATAAAGTTTTTTGAATGAAAAAGAGATATAAATATTATTTCTCATAAAAAATTGTGTTGATCCATACACTTTTCAATATGTTTTAGCATTTTAAAGTTAAATATGTAAAAATAAAATCAAGAATTTTTACACAACAATAGCATTTGGTAACTATGTTTACCATGAAGACAAAATAATGACCGTAATTTTTTTTTCCAAAATAAATTATATTATATTAGCTTTAATTTAAGATATATACATAAAACTGTCAGTATTTCCAGAAAACTTAAAAAAATTAAGTTAATAAAGTTCTATTTTCTACATGCATTTTTTAGATTTGAACCCTTACTGTATATAGGGAAATGATTCGATTTAAAAAATATAATAGGTATAGACATCATGCATCTGTAAAAAAAAAAAATATTTATTTGTTTATTTTTGAAAGAGTTATTGCAACTTTAAGTAAAAAAAAATTGACTTTATGACTTTAAGTTAAGACAAAAGGGTTGTTTCTTTTTTAAGATATAATACATAATAAAATTAATACTTTCTCAGTTTCGCATCGAAGCTAAAAGTAATGTAATTACTATAGTAGATCATATAATTGAAATTAGTTTAGGATTTTTGAACAATTATCGTACTTAAATTGAATGATTTTAAATAGAAAAAAATTTTATATCTTGTACCCTAAACCGGAACAGGGGTGGATCCAGAATTTATTCCAGGAGGCGTCATTAGATACATTTTTTTCTTTTAAGAAGTGATTTATTATTTTGTGTTTATTACATTTCTATTTTTAAAAATTCGTTTAATTTTTGCTGCATAATAATTTTTTAAATTACTATAGTATATGTTTTTTGATGACTTTGAGGACATAGGTATATAAAAAGAAACTCGTTAATCAAAATTAATTGCATATGAAGAACTTTATTTGAAATTAAAAGCTATTTAACAAAAAAAAACAAAACATACATTTCTTACAATATTATAACTTAACACCTAAGTTTGTAACAAATACTATTAAAATAATTATGACTTGACCTGACAGTATTTAAGTAAACAATGAAATCGTCTATCTTTTTTGAGCAATAAGAAATATCAAAAAATTTTTTTTGTACGATTTCAAAAATAATTGTTGGTTGCGGTAAAATGATTGAAAATAACTTAAGGAAAAAATTTAAATCAAAACTTTGAAGAATTTCTACATACCCTTTAGCAGAAGACAATGTTTCCGAATCCCAATTTTGGGCATTCTCTATGATTGATTCCATTAAATTTATAACATCTAGTTTATGTTCAACCATCATTTCAATAAGACGACTATTGTAATTCCATCTTGTTGGAGCTACTGATGGAAAACGTTTTTTAACTACATTATCAAGTGCATGTACTCGTTTGGTAGATTTTGAAAATAAAGTCGATAAACCAGAAAGGGTTGAAAAAAATATTTTACAATCTTTAATATGCTCAACTGACTGTTTTAAGACAAGTTTTAGTTTATGTGCATAGCAATGTACAAAAATAGCATTTTCATATCTCGAACGCACTAATGATTGCAAACCATTATGTTACCCGGACATAAGAGCTGCGCCATCATATGTTTGGGCTATTAATTTTTCTTCACATGCATACTTTAAAATAAAACGAAATACATGCTCTGATAATGCTTTCGCGGATCGATCTTCACTAACGTCAGTAAATTCCAAAAATCAACTTCGTTTCCATTAACGGTATTAACATAACGCAAAACTGTTGATAACTGTGACTTAGAAACAACATCGGTTGTCTCATCTATAATTATTGCAACAAACGGAGTATCATGTATTTCATTTGCAATTTGTTTGAGAAGAACATTTGAAATTGATTGAATTAAGTAATTTTGAATGTCCCCAGATAAACCAGTAAATATAGTGGATGTTTCAAGGTGGGTTTTTAACAACTCATCGCGCTGGGCCATCAAATAAATAAGTTCAACATAATTACCACTATTAACAGATGAACCTGACTCGTCGTGGCCTCTAAATGCCATTTCTTGCTGAGTTAAAAAACACATTGAATCTATCATACTGTTTAATATGTATCTATTATTTTTAACTGTAACATTATGTTTTTCGATATTTTTTCTAAAAGCTTCACTCAAACAAGTATCTATTCTTGTTTTACCAAATTTAGTTAAATCTATGTAGCTTTTGGAATAATCCACCAACTTTTTAAAATTAAACACTATCTCAATATATGCATCGAAGCTTTTATTATGATGGTGATTTTAATCACTGTCAGATATCATTATACTTGACCCAACTATGCCACATCCCCACTGTCCTTGGTTTTTTTTGCATATAGTGAAAAATCGTCCCAATAAATACGGATCACATTCTACATTCTGTGTCCTCAACGCACCGGAAACGGTCATAATTTTGACAATGGCGTTTGTTTTAAATTCAAATGAAAAATATGTATAAATATTAGACTTACGATTAAAGTTTTGAAGCTATTTTAATAAACAGAGATGAAATTTATCAACCTGTATTTTAATTTTCTTGGATGGATTTTATAAAATTTTTTATATAACGTTTCGTATAAAATTTTGAAATTTGAATAGTTTTTTTTCTCATGTCATGAACCCATTTTATTTTATAAATATTTAGAACTAGCTGACCCGACAGACTTCGTCCTGTCAAAAAGATTTGTAATGTGGCAGTTTTTTTGCCTACGTATTTAAAAAAATTCTCCTGAACAGAACCGTCACCCTGGTGATAGGGCGTTGTGAATAAAAAATAATTAAATAAAACATATATAAGGATTTAAAAGTAAGTAATCGCTTTATTGTTAATCATGTGAATTATAATTATTATTATTATCATTGTAGTGCTTTGTGGTATACGATGTTTTTTGTTTGATTACCTGGCGCATAGATAAACAAATCTGATGGTTTTCCAACACGGGAACAGGCAACATACAATTGACCATGTAAGAAACATGGGTTTTCTAGATTAATACCACAAACACTTAATGATTGCCCCTGGGACTTGTTTATAGTCATAGCAAAAGCAAGCCGCACTGGAAACTGTAGTCGTTTAAACTCAAATGGCACATCAGTCGGAATCATTGGGATGCGCGGTATGAGAACATCTTCTCCTTTATACTTTCCTTTGAGTATAGTTGCTTCTATCACATTGTTTAGTAATTTTTTTATCGCTAACCGTGTACCGTTGCAAAGACGCGGTTGGTTGATATTTCGCAACATTATAACCACCGATCCAACCTTTAATTGAAGATTGTGAGGTGGCAATCCTGGCAAATCCAGCGAGTTTAAAAATTCCGGTGGATAGTTGACTACATCATCTTGATTAGTAGCCATAATGTTTATATGAGCGGTGTGTTTCCTTTATACGTTGTAATTGATCATTCCGACGATGTAAAACAATATCACGGGATTCCAAGTTTTCTCCAACTACAACGATAGCAACTTCATCAATAGTTGGTGCATTAAAACGTCTTGTATGTTGAACTGCAGGTGTTTTATCAGCTCTGATTACAATTTTGTGATTATCGGATGGCATCAGATCCAGGGCAGTTTTAAACAATATAATCAATTGATTGTGTTGATGAAATAAAGTTTGTAATTGTTCTACAATAGACCTCTTTACTAAATTGTTATGTGCACAACGCAGATCAATTTCTTGTGGTGAATTGCCCATAAAATAAATTTGCAGGAATTTGTTGTCGCTATCTGACACTGGTAACAGTGAACCTGCTCTGTGATATATTTGCCCTTGTATCTGTAAATAAAAAAAAAATATTATGGTGTGGTATAAATTAATGGATTGTCAGTGATCAAACTTAAATAATATTTGATCTTAAAAAGTATATATTTAGTTTTAACTAATATCTATCAAATATAAAATATAATAAAAGTGTCACTGAAACTGAATCACCATATAATATGATGACTAAGTGATATATAAGTGATTAAGAAATTGAAGATTAGTGACACATCTTAACTTTGGTGACAGAAAATTTTGTTCGCTAAAATAATTATGAGTAACTGCTATAATACATACCTTAAAAGTTGGCATAAAATTTTCCCGAACTACATTTGTTGCCCCAAATGAAGTCATTTGAAAGCAATTGTTATATTGTTGGATATGTGTCAAAAATTGTATAGAATCTGTTCCTATTCCTGAAACCAATGAGTACAATGGATCTGGTGGTGGATCCAATGGTATCAATTTCACTTTACCATTTGCGCAACACAATCCATTGGCTTCGTTTTTGTATTTTAATGCCTTACAATGTGAGCAAACCGAGTTCATAGAACCAATAACAACACATTGGTAGTTACTGTAGTCAATTGACACATCGTAACTGAAAGCAGCTCGATTCAAACTTGCGCGATTATTAGTTGAATAATTATTAGTCGCGCTCGCGCTTCACGCGTTTGTGATATCCGAATTCTTTCACGTTCATTTCCGTCATCACGTTCTTGTGCAGTACGATTAGATCGGTATTTAGCTTGGTTTGTAGCATTTCTTGTTCTTCTACCTAAATTGCTTCGTCTTATAGGAGGCATATCAAATATAAATTATTTTTTCACTAATCACGAACTAAACAAACACTAACTAAGTAAACACTCTTGGGTTTTTCCAGCAATAATTCTAATTTTTCTCGCCGTAAAAACCATCCTTGAACTTCAACGAACATTTTAAAAAAAG